ATTACTATCAAAGACCCTATATAAACTTAAGAGAATGATAAGGAAATAAGGAAGGAAGCTGCATGTATAGCTATGGCAATAAAGATGTCAGGCTTTGGGGCAGATCCAAGCAAGATTTTCATAGGGTTCTTGTTTAGCAAGATTTACTGAGATTGAACAGGTAGGGTTACAAAAATCCCAGTGACTGAACTTTTTTCAGTTTAGACCCAATATATCATTTTGTACATTAGGGCAGAGATTTTCTTATCTTCCTACAGCCTTCTGGTCATCTAGCACTGGCTGCATAATGGTCTTCATAACCTTTATTAGTCTGGGAACCAGTACTATATATGAATTTGGATAATTGATACAGGAAGGGGTGTGCTTGGCTGTATCTTCTCCTGCCCCAAACAGAATTTGCAAAACATGTAACTCTTTTTTTAAAACAAACCTCAGAATATGCCGCTAGATTCCAAATATTTACTTTCCCTGCCATCCACTGAATGCTAACCCTATGTTGATGAATTCTTATTTCTGACAAACATTCATCCATAGTGGGGTAGCATTCTTGAGCACCTCATGAAGTTGATGCCTCAGCAGCCCTTTACTGTCTTTGGCCCTGTTGTTGCTTCATTTGCCACTCGCCTTGCTGTCAGATGTATTGAAAGGTTGTGAAACATTTGTACACTGCCATTCTACCAAGGCATGCAAAGCAGTTTATAGCTTAAAACATTAAAACAACACGATCCATTTCCTCATAATACACCAGCAGACTTCAATTTGGGCTGTTAGTTTTCTGTTTAGGAAATTAAGGCATTTGTCCCCTGGCATAAGCTGCTCTTCATTCATAAAGCCACTGGTTCCAGATGGCAACTTGGATCACATTTCAGCAACAGTTGAAGATATGATTTCTCTTTTACTCTCTAAACCAAAGAGTCTAGAAGAATTCAGAGAACCAAGCACCAAATGGTAACTTACAACAATATGCATGAAATCAGTTTATAATTTAATAACATCCTCCTGCAGATCAAATTTTTGCTACTTGTGAATTAAGGTTATGGTATTTTAATTTAAAGCAGAGGAGAGTGAGAAACTTGTAAATATTTTTATATTTTATGTATGTTATCTATATAACAGCTTGCTAGGAAAGTAAGCCTGCTTGAACTATGTGCTCAGTTGTGCCATCGGACAAGCTTCATGTCAAGTACTGGGATTACACTAACATTTAACATTTTCCCAGCATTTCCAAAATGTGTTCTAGAATCTCCCACAATTCTCTGGAGCAGATTTGGAGACTGCACAGGAAAGAATACAGTTTGCCTGTACCATGCAACCAAGCAGTGAATTAACATTACTGGATGGAAAATCTAGGTATTTTATATCCAGTTTGATAGATACAGTGGGGCAAAAAAGTATTTAGTCAGCCACCAATTGTGCAAGTTCTCCCAC